GCTCGGGCGGAGGCGCGGTCCCATCGTCGGTTGAGGCGCCGCAGGCGTCGCGCGACGTCCTCGGTCAGCGTCACGCCGCCGCACAGCTCGTTGAGGACGTCCAGGTCGGCCGCGCCGGCGCCGGCGTCCAGCAGGACGCGCTGCCGACACATCGGACAATCGCAACAAAAACTCACTGTGTCGTCAAAGCCCAACGGGGAAGAGAAACAGAGGGAAGTCATCGCGTTTCGATTGCATTCAAAGCGGGAGGCGGCGCACGAATGCCACCAAAGCGCCCGTGATCGAGCCAAACAAAATCAAGTTGCCAGGTTCTCGTGGGCTTTTTTTTTTTCTTTCTATTCTCTTGATCGCTTTTCCAACTCGGTCTTGGCGAAGGCTCCCAAAACCGCAAAGAAAAACCCCTGCAGAGACACTTGCGCAAGGATCGCTGAGCAATTGAGCGGCTGTGCGGAAACTTTGGGTGACCTTCAAGGTGCAGCCTGACCTCGACCCTTTGACCTCCCACGCACCGACCTGCACGTCGGCAGGCTGCGCCGTGCGCTGCCCCCGGTCCAGATGCTCCGTCCAGCTCTCCACGGCGCACTCCAGAGCTTCCAGGAGGCTGACGACCTCCCGCAGCGTCTGCAGCTCCTCCTGATCGGCAACAAATAAAAACAAACAAACAAACAAACAAACACCTTCCCATCAAGGAAACGTGCTCGTGCTCATTTGTGTGCCACCACGCGACACACTGACTGACACGCACGCGGCCACACGCTGAGCTGATTCATTCTTAAGTGTGCGCGTCGCATTTGGGAAAGAAAAAAAAAAATCCTCCAAACCTTCCCAGTGCAGTTGTTCATTCAAGTTGAGTCATTGATTTGGTTTTGTTTGCGCAGTGCAAAATGAAGATTATTCCAACATTTACTTTGAAAAATGGTTTCGGTCGGAATGAGCTGAGCAGGTGGAAGTTTCAAGCGGACAAATAATGTGGGCGGGCGCTCAAAGCCCCAAATTCCGATTTTCATTCGGCAGCCATGTGGAATGTCTCGAGCAATTGCGCCCTCCAGCGGCCCGCGTTCAATACTGCAGCTCAAATTCAGCCGGCGGTCGCCCGTCTCGGTTTGTCGTGCCGAGCAAAAACGGACGCGGCCAAGAGCAACGGCGCGCGGGGGAACAGAAAACGGTCAGTGGCCGAGAAATGATTTGGTGACAAAAACGGCGGCATTTTGGTCACCAAACGTCCTTTTGCGAGCACGCGTGACCTGTAAGCCTCGTCGCTTGGCGGCCAGCGTGCGTCCCAACCGCAGGACGGCGCGAGACAGCAGCCTGCGTTCCGCTTGGACCAGAGCGGCCGGCGGGGGCTCCAGGCGGCCAATCAGGTCCTGAGAGTCCTCCAGCGCCTCCTGCAGGTGGCGCTGCAGAGCATCCGCTCTTTCTTGCAGGGTCTGAACGGGAACAAAAAAAAAAACGCGTGACGGATTTGCGCGGCCTTCTCCCGAAAGACTTTTTGGGCGTTGTCGCGCGTCTTGACTTGAAGTCTGCGTAAATCCTCGTCGAGGTCATCGCGATCCGCGCCGGGGACGGAGGCCGCGTCCTTCCTCAGCTCCGCCACGCGCTCCCACAAGACGGCCGCGCTGGAGGCGTGAGCCTCCCACGACGTCTGGAGGACGAGGCTGCCCTGGAGCTGCTGCTCCAAACGAGAACGCGCCTGCGACCAGCTGCAGGACACCAATGTGTTACAAGCGCGCGCGTGCGTGCGTGAGCGTGCGTGAGCTTGTCCCACCTGCGAGTTTGCCTGTGGATGCGCTGCGCGAGCATGTGGGCCGCATCCGGGTGTACTCGTTGTTTGAGAGCGGCCAAGGTCTGATGGAGTCGCTCCCACTCGGACTCCGAAGCCTTCATGTCCTCGCAAAGACTCTGTTGGGGGGGGGGCGGGGGCGCGTCAAGCCCGATGCGGCGAGTGGCATCCGCCGGCCGGCCGCGGTTACCTGCAGCTGACGTCGGAGGTCTTTGTGGGCCTGCAGCGAGAGGGCGGGACCTCGGAGAAGATCCGCCATCTGGCACGCCCTCACCCGTCTGCGCGTCATCTCCTCAATTTGCTCCTCCACGCCGAGCCGCAGCTGCCTCGTCGTTGACAGCTCACGACGGGCCGCCTCGTTCTGGTAACGACCGCGGTCGCAAACGGGGGGCGGGGTCAGTCGCCGGCCGGTCTGCTCGACGCAAAGCAACTTTCGGAACGCCGGCGGCCCTATCGGGCGGGCGCGTGCGAGGCAGCGACTAACGACTTGAAATGTCGACAAGGAAATCAGAGCGCGAAGATGGCCGACATCCAGAAGCGGCCTGAGCCTAGCGTCTCTCACCAGCTGGGCAAGCCGGTCGCACGCCGCCGCGGATCGCTCAACGAGACACGCGAAGGCCGCGCCGCCTCCGCCGGCTCCTCCTCCCCCTCGCTGGCCGTGCCGCTCCGCCATCTCTCGCAGTTCAACTTGTCTCTCCTGGATTTGCTTCTCCAAGTCCTGCCGGACACGGAAACGTTTCACTCTCACCTCTGAAGGGACTTTTGCAAGGCGCTAAAAAAAGATGCGGGTGACTGGAAACCGTGTGGGGGTCGCGCCAAAGGTGGGCCAGGTTGCGGGGCTTCCGGGCCGAGTCCAGTTCCCGCTTGTGGTCCGCCATCCAGGTGTCGATGCGCTCCAGGCGGCTCTCTCGCTCCGTCCTGACCCTCAAGTCCTCCTCCAGCTCGCCAATCTGATGCCGACGACGACAACGCGAGCGTTTTTGCGACGTCCTCCTCGCCGCCTCGATTTCCGGATTCGCGGAGGGAACTTGACGAGCGGGCCGCCGCCTTTGACGGGCCGGAACGCCCGCCGCTCGCATCTACCTCAACGTCGAGAGTCGATTGCCTCATCAGCCAGCGCCGGCTGAGGCTTCCCTGCTCCTCCGCCAGCCGGTTGGCGTCGTCGCGCCCCCGCTGGTCCTCCTCGGCGGCGCGCGTCGGCAAAGGTCGGGCGGCGTAGTCCAGGGTGGCCCGATGCGCCGACATCTGCGCACGACACTCCTGACGGAAGAGCGGCAGCGCGGCACGTCACTTTCACGTCACTTTCACGCCGACGTCTCGGGGAAGCCGGAGACGACGCCGGCCGACTTGGCGCGGGAGGCGGGACGCGACGACTCGCGGGCCGCCCATTGGCACGCGAGAGATGGCTGAGTGAGTGAGTCATCGCGCGCGCCCACCTGATAGTACTTGAGAAGCAGTCGGAGGTCGTCGGCGGTGCATGCGTTCGGGTCCATGTGACTGCGGCGCTCTTCCAGTCCGGCCTCCAAGTCGGCGAGCCGCCGCCGCAGCTCCTGGAGCGCGTCGCGCCGGCTCAACGTTTCCGTCCACCACTGAGCGGAGGCCCCCCAAGCACACAACACACCGTGCGCCCATTGATATCGCCGCTGTTGTGAAAGCGCTTCGCAAAACACTTCGCATCAAGTCAAATCGTCGACCCGACGCCGAACGTAAAACGCGGACAGTCGTGCGGTCCCGATCCCGCGAGTCGAAGAGGACGGCAAAGTGGCTTTTGCGGCCGCTCACCCGGTGCAGGGCTCCCTGCAGCGCGGGGACGTCGGCCAGCAGAGACGACCAGTCGCGCTCCAAGCGCGCCAGATCCAGATCCCGCTCGGCGCTTCCGCACGGGGGCGCTCCGTCCTCGGGGCCGTCTCCGAAGTCCGGCTCGGCCGCCCTCATCTCCGCCAGCCGGCGGGCGGCGCCGACCACGGCGGCTTTCAGTCCGCCGCGCTCCTCGAGATCCTCCATCAGCGCCTGGCCGTTGACAACCAATGAGCGCGGAGCAAATCGCAAACGCCTCCAGACTCACCACAGAGCGGTCGAATTCTTCCCGCCTGCGCTCGCCGTCCGCGGCGGCCGAGCCCGCCAGAAGCCGCCACTTGTCCGTCAGCCGCCCGGCCCCGCCCATCCACTCCGTGAGCGCGGCAAAGTCGGACGCAAAGCTGTCGGTGGAGACAAAACGGCAACATTCAGCGCACGGACGAAAGGCCCTCTCGTCACCAAGCTCTTTTGGTTTCTCCTTTGCTTTGTCGGCTGTGCGAGTCGTGGGCGGAGTCTCTTGCGCGGCACTCGCGATTATTTTGACACGCGGGAGCGAGACGCCGAGTGGGCGCGCGCCGTCTCGCTCCCGCGGCTCTCCGCCCGCCTTGGTTTGTTGAGTTGCCGTGATCATTTTGCGCCCGCCTTCTTTGTCTTCTCGTTTGGATGGACTCGCGCCGGCGGGAGCCTTCGGTTCGACCGCCTGGCTAAGCAGGGGCGGCGCTGAGCTCCTCCCCGGGCCAGCCCCCCACCGAGATGAACATTTTGCTTCCTGTGGCCTTCCGGCCACTTTTGTTATCCCCGCATGAAAAAAAATAATAAAATCCAAAATGGAGCCGTTCTTGTTGCCGGCCAACTTACTGGAATGACTCGTACCAGCCGTCGGCGCGCTCTGATTGGCCGTTAGCTCGCCAATGGCGGCACGGGATCCAAGTTGACTTTGAGATCATTCGCAAAGAAAGCGAAGCCGATGAGCCGATGCAAAGAAAGCGGCGGCCTCCAGTCAATGAGGCTCAGCGACGGCTCGCTTTGGACATTTTGGAAAAGAAGAGCAACGGCGCACGTCCGGCGCGTCGGGACAGGAAAGGCCTCGCGGTTTGCCGGTCACCTGTCGGCGAGTTCTCTCCGGCTCTCGTCATCCGCTTTTCGGCGCCGGGACCGTTCCTTCAGTTTGGTCCAGCGAGCCTCCAGGTCCCGGCAGGCCCCGCCCACGCCGACGCAGCCGGCCCCGTGCAGCCAAAGCCCCGCCTCCAGCGTGGCGCCCAGCCGCGCCGCAACGGCGTCCGGAGAGCGAGACGCGTCCTGCAACGAGGTGCCGATCGTTAAGATTGGAAAGGGGGCGCGACCGTCCCCGGGCGGGCAACCGGTCCGAGCGCCAGAGAACACAAATGGCGGCGGCTCCGTGAGGACAACGCGCCGAAACGGCGAACGGCTCGAAACGCGCTTGCCGGCGGCGTCGCGTCTGACGTTTGAAAACAAGAGCGAGCGGCGGACGGAAAGCGGAAGCGGCGCTTCACCGGACCCACCTGCTCGGAGAGCGGCCGGCGAGGAGACGTCTCCGCGCTGGCCAGCAGCGACCGGCAGCGGCCGGCGTCGTCCTCCCACTCGCTCCACCTCTGCCAGCGCAACAAGTTGCACGAGTGAGAGCGGGAAAAGGCGGCCGCGGCCTTCCAAAAAGCCCGACCTGCAAGACTTGCTCCATGCGGACGCCTCGGTCGAGCGCCCGCGTCTGCAGCGAGAGCGCCTCGGCGCGCAGGGGACGCGTGGCGTCCTCCCACCCGTGGAGGGCGCCCTCGGGAAGTCTCTGGCCCAGGAAGATCAGGGCGTGCAGGCGCTGCTGCAGGAAGCCGAAGAACTCCTGGAGGAAGGAGAAGCTTTGCGCTTTGCTCTGCCGAATACCGAACGCGCTCCCGAAAGGACGCGAGTGCTGACGAATCGGTCGGCGCGATGAGAGAAAAGGAAACGTTGTCTTCCAGAGGGACGGCGACCTCTGCTACGTGAGCACCAGTCAATAGGTGAGCGGCGGCATTTTGGAGCAACTGGGAAAACTGAATGGAGGATTGGCTGACTCCAAAGTAAAGTCCTGATTATTGATGTCCTCGAACATATAGAGGGAGCCGGTGAAGGGGTGCCATATAAATACACACACACACACAGGCAACGAGTGCTTGTCATTCATGAGTTTGCCTGCATCAAGTTGAGATTGTTGCTGCGCAACAGGCATGACTTTACTTTGCTGTCAAGGTGCTGCGTGTGTGTGTGTGTGTTTGGCTTTCTCGGTGGTGGTGAATGTGCGGTCAAGTCCAGCGTGATAAAGGGAAGAACTAGTGCCCCGTTGGAGGCGAGCGTGCACTGACCGCGTGAGCGCGGACTTGTCCTCGTAGCTCGCTCCTGCAGCGGAGCCGCGGCCGGCGCTCTAAGCGTTCCCGGCCCGCCGCCAGAAGATCGCGCAGGCTGCCGGCCAGACGCTCGCAGTGCCGCAGCGCGTGCTCGGGGCTCCTCAGATCCCGCTCGTCCTCGTCCTCGTCCTCTTCCTGCGTGCGCAAGGACAATCGGCGTCAGACTTTCTGTCTGTCGTTTGTGGCGCTTGACCTTTTCCGCCGTCGGGGCGGCTCGATCGCCACGACACCCGTTCCCCACTCCGTCGCCAATTTTCGAGCGTCCGTTTTTGGCGCGGGTTTTCGCGGCCGGCGCGACAATCGGGCGATCGGCCGACGAGCGATCGCTGAGCTAATTGCTCGGCAACTACTTGGAGCATCGTTTCAAAGCCCGGTCCAACTTCATACCGTCCAAAACCCGTTTGATCTGCCGATGCCGGATTTGGAGGTTCATTTCATGAAAAGCAGAGGCGGCCCCCGACCGAACTCGGGCGATGGAGAAAACACGTGCCCGTCGGATGCTCCGTTTGTAATTGCCGCCGCTCCCGACGTGCGTGATAAGGTGTCACCGTTGTTTGACGGCTCAGAACGACAACGACATCTCGGCTCATTTCCGCTAGCCTGTCCATGGGATATCCCCTTGTATGTTAGCATGAAGCTAGCAGACTTGATTATTAGATTGTACCCGATGTTTGTCTTTGGCTTTCTGTCTCTCCTGGACAGGAAACGCGCAGTGAGCCCCCCCCGCCCAAAACCAAATAAAAAGCTCGAAGCAAGGACGCTCGATCTCTTAACTGTAGGCGGGCGGGCATGTGTGGCGAGTCGCTAATCAAGATCTGTTTTGCAGTGCGAAGTCTTGTCACTCTCGCTACCTGAGAAGGCGGCGGGCTCCCGCGGTCGTCTTCCGGCTCCAGGAAGCCGCTGCCGAGCGTCGCTTCGTCTTCAGCCGGAGAGCCCCTGCGGGGGAAAAAACGTTCACGCTTCACTTGGGGCCCCGCCGCTTTCCCGCCGGGGCCGCGAAAGGAAACATCTCGCGGCGACAGCCTCCTCAACTGACACGTCAATGTGAAGTCAATCGGAAATTCGTACATTCGTCCACAACGAATTGATCATTGCATGAATTAACAGCGACAGATGACGCTCATCACCTTCAAACTGTCGAAATCCGGCAATGTCCGCCTCCTGCTCTCGAATGTGACGAGAACGGGGGGGGGGAGGCGCGTGCAGACAGCATACGGATTGCGTGGGCCCATTTGGCAAATATTGTCTGCGACCGACCTTGACGCATGTTACGAAGCAAATCCTCATGAACTTTTGCTTTTGTGCATTTTGCGCACAAGGAAAAGGTTTGAGCCGAGTCCCTGATCGATGGGGACAGCAAAGGGGAAATATCAGCTTGAAAAAGAAAACGCCATTCGGCAAGGTCGGCAAATAATTCAAGCTCATTTCAAGCGCTTTCAATGTCTTTTCCCGCTGGGCAAAGAAAAATCCAGCAAATAAGACGCCACTTCCACGATGAATGGGAGAGAGAGAGAGAGAGAGAGGGAGAGAGGGAGCGGCTCCCACAAAAATGGCCCAATAGGTGAAAGCCACCAAGGGCGAATACGCGGAGCCCCGCCGTCGCGAATCGCAGCCGCTCTTCAAGGCACGCCGACGGCGAGAAAACGCGACGGTACGAGGATGACATTGGGTGTTACCGTGGCGACGGCGGCAGCTCTTCGTCTCCTGGGCCCGACGAGACCGCCGGCGTCGAAGCTCGCCGCTCGCTCGGCCGCCGCTCCGACTCCTGAATAAACAAAACTCCATTGACGTCTTTACACTTGACGGCGGCGAGCGAGCGCTCTCCCAAAGCGGGCCGGGATGGGCGACATGTTGTTCTCGGGCCCGCGCGGGTTTTCTCCGGGTACTCCGCTTTCCTCCCACATTCCAAAAACACACGCGGCAGGCTGATTGGACACTCCAAATGTGTGCCTCGGCGCGAGTGCGAGCGCGGACGGTTTCATTGACGTCTTTACACTTGACGGCGGCGAGCGAGCGCTCTCCCAAAGCGGGCCGGGATGGGCGACATGTTGTTCTCGGGCCCGCGCGGGTTTTCTCCGGGTACTCCGCTTTCCTCCCACATTCCAAAAACACGCGCGGCAGGCTGATTGGACACTCCAAATGTGTGCCTCGGCGCGAGTGCGAGCGCGGACGGTTTTTGGTCTCGGTGTGCCCTGCGATTGGATCGCAACCGGTTCAGGGTGTCCCCCGCCGACTGCCCGAAGACGGCGGGGGACGGGCTCCGGTACGCTCGCGACCAGGAAGTAAATGACACAAAGAGCCATTTATTGACGACATTATTTCTTGGGCATGAAATGAATCAATGACGTTAAAGTCAGTCTATAAAATGAAAATGTCCAAGTCAAATAGGTCGCGGCTTCTTAGCTTTAGTTTAGTCCAATAAAATCCCCCCCCCGGCTGTACCTCGGTCACTGTGGGCCGCTTGTGCCGCAGAAGGCTCCGGAAGTGGAAGAGCTGCGCCTTGACGATCTCGAGTTTGGACCAAAGTCCCTCGGCCGCCGTCTCCTCCTCCTCCCGCGCGGTCTCTCCGCCCT